ACAGTACTTTTGAGTATGTAATAATAATTTTGTATTGTTTTGTTAGAATATGAAAGTCCTTAAACTCATTTTTAAAAATTTAAGAATTTACAGTTGTTTTCATTCAAGTAACAGAAAGGACATAAAATTTGAGGTGGGATACATCAAATAGCAGTTATTACTTTAAAAATCAATTTCTTTTGTGCATTTTGCTGAATTTTTGTTGCTTAATGTTGTGTTAATGAAATAAACTTAAAACAAATAATTGAATTTTGCATTTATTTTTTCAAAATGCACAACTTAAAAGTAGACATATTTTGAAAATGGCCCTTATAGCTTTTCATAATTCATAGCTGATGTCTGCAGACCATATACGTGTAGTTATGCCATTTCATACTTTTACCAAAATTAATAACATCAAAACGTATTATCTTTCAACACTGTATACTTTTTTGTACATTTAACGTCCGTCTCGGAATCTTTCGCTCTTATGGAGATGGCACCACTTGCAGGAGGAGAGTTACAAATTTTGTCCTATACTCGGAACTCAGCGATAATTTAGCAGTGTGCTAGCACCGACAGCAATAAGGGATCTTGGTTTTTATGGTGTCATTCGAAGGACCGGTCTTCACTCCTCAGTGACTCTAGAGCAGACGCGCAAACCACTGCGGCATGCGGACGACTCATGCTGTAATTAATTATTCCCTACGATAAATAAAATCCCAGCCATTTTTACATTCTAATGAGAAAATTTATCAATAAAAAAAGAACAAATTGATATACGTACCATTTTTCATTTGTCATTTTAAAAAGTTATTTTGTTACGAAAAAGATGTAGTATGATTGTAAATTTAATTACTCTGAGATTGATATTTTAAAAAAAATGCTTTATTTATTGCATTTTTCTTTTTTTTTTTTTTTTTTTTTTTTTTGAAATCCCAATTTCTCAAACTCTGTGAGCATGATTAGCGACCAATATCCAATTTACATTTTATTCTATTATCAGCGGTGTTATATAACTTGTCAGTCAAAGAGAAATTGATCATAGAATTGAGGTATTTACTGATAAATACTTGCAGACCAATGCAAAGTAGATCATTGACCTAGATATTTTTTTAAATAATTTTTTTACCTTTGTGTCATTTTATTCTAACAATTTTCAATTTTAGTAATCATTATATTTGATTTTGATTTCTTATTTGAGAAGCGATCTTATTTAGTGTAGTTTTTGAGAAGTCTAAAAAATGAAAAATAGGGGAAACCCGAAAAATAAAGAAAGAGTAAAAATATTATTTTTTATTGGCAAGTTAAAATGAGATAATTTATTACTATGATAGTTGTTAACATTTACCTTGACAAATGGGTGCTTTCCAGTTCGGTTTACAACCAGATGAACAACTTCCGTTGATCTTATTACAAAATCCTTCTCGACATTGTCCGCATTGACTTGTACACTTCTGATCATAGAAACCGTCAACGCATTCTATAATAAATGAAAAAAAGTTGTTTTTATTGCAGATAAATCTCTTTTTTGAAAATGTGTTTGTTTATCTCTTTATCTATGATAGTTATATTAATTTATTGTTATATAATAAATTGAATGCTCAACATCTACCTTGACACAAAGGTGTTTTCCAGTTAGTTGTACAACCAGATGGACAGTTTCCGTTGCTTTTGTCACAAACTCCATAAAGACAATTTCCACACTGAGTACTACAAATCTCGCCATAGTAACCATCGGCACATTCTAATTGAATGGAATAATTTTGTTTAACATGAAACTTTACTTGAATGTAGTATTACAAAGAGCACCTTTTTTCCGGCGACTTATTTGAGGAATCTTGACACACAATGTTCCATACAAATAACATTTTTACACCTCTAGAAAATGTTAACACAATAGCTTTTTTCTACTGGTCAGGAGAGTTCTACTCAAGAGTCAATTTTCCTTCTCTAGTGCCCTTTGATTTTCTTTTCTGTTTTTTTTTTTTTTTTTTTTTGGGGGGGGGGGGGGGGGGGGTGTGGTCCTAATCTAAAGCTAACTTTTCGGGGAAACCTTTAGAGAGGAAAGCCTACTCTGTAAGAGTCTGATTCCAGATGTCTTTCCCCGTGTTACACCAAGTCTTAGACGTTCGCATATGAAGTGGCTATTCACATGGTTTTACACGGTACTAGATTATTCAGCAAGACAAGTTCTATAGGTATGTCCAGATGCATTGTATATCAAACAATCCCTCAAATTCACGCCCTACGTTAAAAACGACATTACAAATCATAATATGACCTCTCAATTACGCAGCAAAAAGTTCAACTACAAGGCCTACTTCACAGTATTGTGCCAAATTTTGTAAAAACAAAAATTAAAATCATCATTTTATAGTGAAAAAAACACACCTTTACAAAGATGCCCCGTCCAGTTTTTCTTACAGCCAGATGAACAATTTCCGGTTCCTTTATCACATGGTATGTCATCTTTACAGTGCCCGCATTGCTCACAAACTCCATTTAAAGCATAAGTTCCGTCATTACAAACTTAATAATAAGAACAAAAATAATTTATTTTCCAGGGTGAATAAGTGAAGTAAAAATGAATACCCACAAAATACTTGTTATAATTCACACACTAAAGAATGTTAGATATGTCTGATTATAAAAATACCAGGCAAATATCATAACTTTTTAATTGTCTTTAATTTGTAATAGTTTCTTTAATAAGCAAATTAAAATCACTAAAATTACTTCTCGCTTAAAATAGAATACCAACTTCTAAGGAAAAATCGCTAATTTGCATCTCGCTAAAAGTTCTACTTATATGGTATATTACCCTTTAGCAAGCATTAATTCAGTTTCGGTAAACGGAGTTACATTTCATATTCATACTTTTGGTAATCTCCGTAGATTTCATGCCAAGAAAACATTGCTGTTTATATTATGATGTATTCTTTATAAATCTTACCTCTACAATTTAAGGACACAGCACCAGGATCAGAACATCCATAAATACACAATCCGTTAAAAGCATCACAGTGCCTGTCCTTACACTTATCATTGCATTTATTGACACACCCATCACCATATCTATTTTGATCACAACCTACAATTTAGTAGAAGTATTTTGAAGTCCTTCTCTGAAGGGTCTTTGGGAATCTGGTTTTCGAAATATTAATTGAAATACCAAGAACATTTGAGGAACATGTAGAATTTTGTAAACTACAAAATTCTGTTAGTAATGTTGATGTGTAGGTAAAACGTATTGTAAAAATATTATATTTTGAAGCAAAACTTACCCATTACTTTAACTTCGCATATTTCAATGGAGGTCTTCGTTAAGCTTGTACCTGAACAGATTGACGTAAATCCATCTGGTCTTTCATTAAAGAAGGCTACTCCTTGGGATATTTTATTTACATTTATTTTCTGGACATCCCCTGGACAACCTGACATAGGATCGTGTTTGAATATAAGGGTTCCAGTGACTCCAGAGGGAGGCTCAAAAGATGTGTCTTCGTAGGTATATATGGAGAAACCAGTTGCCCGGTTTGTCGCTTTTAAAGAGATATTTTAGGATATTATGTTTGCTTGACATTGAAACAAAAGTATTCAACCTAATAGTTCAAGCCATACAATTTTTTGCTAACATTGTAGAAGGTTCCTCAAATATAATTTGGTAGAATTTATGACAGTTAAAACTCAATATCTGTTTTCTTCTCTTACATCGTGCATATGTTGTTCTCGTACTAATAAGAAAATTGAAGATATAGTATGGTGATATTGTTTTAAATTTAAGGACAGATGATACAAACAATTTTTTTTTTCTTTTAAAGGACTTAATATCATGTCACAAGTTTAGAAAAGTGGATAATTCTTAGAATTTTTTCTCCAAAGAACTGGAAAATGAAAAAAAGACTTGGAAAATATTAGTAATGTTAAAGGAAAAAAAATGTGTATCATCTGCCCTTAAGTTACCCTTTTGCGATCTTTCGACTTGAAGAAATGTTAAGGCTACAATTGGAGGCGGGCCTAATTTAAACAGGCAATACTTATTATGACATTACCGTTTTCTGAGAGAATTTAGGCAATCTTGATACATTTCTTTTGTCTGATATGGAAATAACTTCTGTATTCCTGACTGGTTTTCCTACTCTTTCATTGACCAAACAGTATAAAATATCATTTTTCGTCTTTCTCCTCTACACATTGTGCCCAAAAACACCTTATATAAGTAAGTAAATTTCAGAAGCATCACTAAAAAAAATTGTTTCTCAAAATAAAGAAATATGTGGGTACCAATTTAGAAAACATTAATTTGAATCTTTTACATCACTATCATTTTTATGAAAAACACATGGCAATATTTGTATTGAAACCGTGACTTGTTGTTTCAATTCAAAGATGTTTAAAAAAAAAAGAAAAGAAAAAAAACATAAACAAAAAAGAGTAATATCTGTGCATATTTTAAAATTTCTCTCCATCAAGTATTCAAACTTATTTTTATATTGTAGAAACGATGAATCCGACACATTTCACAATTTAATGAAATAAATATATTTACAATCATGAGAACAAGAACAGGGTCCTTGTTACTTTGTCTCTGTTTGGTAAACTGTATATTCATCTTACAATAAATGTCAGAACTTTGATTTTAAGAAATTTTATCTGAATTCTAGCTGATTAAGGTTTTTTTAGTAACCTCTTACGTCTCTACATGAGTAAAAAAAATTCTCAAATGGATGTGAAACAATATACAGTCAAACAATCAATCAACCAACCAATCTAATTACCTCTTAAAAATATCTATCTAGCTATCTTCTGTCTTATTAAATAAATTTGTTCTCCTATTTCTGAATCACATTGTATATTTTATTGGGGTTTGGTTTTCTTCAGATAAAAACTCTGTCCTAGATAAAACTTAGCTACACCCCCCCACCCCACCCCATCCCCCACCCCCATCCCCACACACACATGTTCATCAGGGAATAAATATATCTGCAAAGAAGACATTGTTTTTAAGAATCTGAACATTTTTTTTCAGTAAGATATATCCTGCAATACTCAAAGACACTATAAATAATGTGCTGCTGATGCCATAAAGATACATTGCAAAGGAACTTTTGTTCTGTTTATCTTTAGATAATCAATCCATTTACTATTCTGCATTATATATTGCATTTTTCATGTATCCAATATGTGTTTATTTGCTTACAAGATGCAACCCCTAAGGTATTTTGTTATAGTCCTAAATATACGAGGGTTGTCCCGTAAAATCGTGGACAAGTTGTCTAGTGTGAAAAATAAACATCACTGCGTTCTGAAATTTTCATTATTATTTAGTACATATTTTAGTAATATACACAGCAAATTTCAGATAAATATATGCATAAATAAACAAATTAGGAGATTTTATGCCATGTATTGTATCACCTTACGGCGCATGGATTATAACGTCAAAGTGTCTAAAACAGCGTCACGTTTTATCTTTGCTGAAAATGAAGTTGGATGAGTCCGACTTAAATTTAGGAATTTCATTGATATGCATTCTTTAGTCTCCATAAAAAGTCGAAGAACCAGTTGGCACCCTCATGCGATCTTCTGAAGATTTATTAGTAAGTTATGGACAATATTCTCACCATCATTCAACTAATAGAAAATCTCATATCGGCGGTCTACTGTGACAGCGTCTTTTGCTATTACATTAGGAGTTTGTCCGTATGTTTTGTACTCCCCAGGGACTCGATCAAATAAAACTTCGCTAAGAAAACTCCTATTTTATTTGTATACTTAAGGTATGGTGATATTTTTATAATCTTTTTTCTTCTATGGTCATTTCAAGTCTCTAAAGGTGTCATTACACCATCGAAATAAAACTGAACTGTTCTCCGGTGCGCCGTAACGTCATAAAACGTCGCCATTTTTCGTTTGTTGTGTTTACCACTTTCCCATTTCGAATGCTCGAGAAACTGCCAAAAATTAAGCAAATGCCTTAAAATTTTTACAAAGACTACAAAATTGATTGTGGAATTGAATTAGGATAATTTTAATCCAAATTTTATGTATTTAAAACTTTTATTTTGAATTCAAACTTGTGTATTCTTTAATAAAACCTTGGTTTTTGACCGTGCGCCGTAGGACAATACCTCGTACACATTCAAGCATAATAAAATCTTTATTTTTGCCTATATTTTATCAAAAAAATTATCATGCACTTAAATATGATAAATAAACATTTACTGAAATTTTCAGCTTAGTGCGCCCATTACTTTTGGAGAAAAACGCTTTGTCCACGATTTTACGGGACAACCCTCGTACATTTTTGTACATAATTATACGCTTTGTCATCATAGGTTAAATTCTATATTGAATTTCTTAACTTTAAAAAGAACTAATTCATAGTACACCTATTAATGCTGTGTAAAAAATAGCATACAGGTATGAGGGTTTTAAAATATCAGATTTAAAATACCACGTTTGTTTCAAATGAACAACTCTTCTGATGCGAAACATGTCTTTAAAATGATGTTTACTAAGATAACACATTTTGATATCCAATATGAAAATTTTAAAACTTTTGAGTTTACTCGTAAGAATGTTAAACATGTTCATGATGTTAGCAATTTTAAACATACATTAATAATATTTTACCACACATAAGTAAAAAGGAGTACCTACTGATAGTACGTAAATATATTTCCACATATGCTATATTAAATTTTCTGTCTAACCACACTTTCCACCAAACTGATGTATAAGTGTTGGTTCCGTAGGCAGCAATAGCACATGTAGGAAGATGGTCCTGTCTGGTATCACCATCCACCACTTTGTCAGCACTCCAGGTACTGGTATGAGCTTCAACATTCCAAGATGCAGTTCCCTGTAGATTTTGCACAGGTGTATGGGCTAAATTAACTGTAAATTCGTTTCATTATGAGACTATTTCATTTCAAGTCCAATTATAATAAACAATCACCATTACGCTTTTTAATAATGGATATAAAAAGTTATTGTAAAAATTAACGATAATTGACAAACAGCATATTTCTGCTTATTGTATAAGAGAAGGAAGAAAGTGATACACTCACCAAAACCTGCTATCTCCGGGAAAATGTTTATTAGAAAATTCAATAAGATCACTTCCAACCACATTTTCGTGTATTTTGAATAAAATATTAGGCGTCATTCAGCTTCCTGGTTGACAGCGGGAAGTGGATTACATGCCTTGTTTGATATAAATAGGTCAAACAAAAGTAAAGAGATACGTTACACCGCAGAAGCTATTCAAAGTCTTTTAAAATAAAAAAGACCTCCAATTAACAATAAATGCTTCATAATTGAAAGAAATATGCTCTCATTTTTATTTGAAACAAATTCCAACCGACGTCACTCTCATAAAATCAAGTGTTTTTAAATAAATAGCACGGAAGGAATCGGCTAAGGTCAGATTAAAGGACTGTTGTCTTTTTTTATTATATTTATTATTCACTGCGTTTATTTCAACAATATTGCATCTTAAGTTCTCTTATAATTAAGGAGGCTGGTGGGTCAACAAATTAATCCCAAATTAACCACCAGATTTAACTTATTTTTTAGATACGGTATCTTTAGCTATCAACTATCATTTGACAAAGAAAAAATTCAAAGATTTTAGTTTTAAAATTTGATCATTTTTGTATATCTTTATATGGAGCTCTCCTTTTAAAGGAGATTGAAATAGTCTAAAAATGGCTGCCACCCCCCAGCCTCGTTAAATGGAAAATATGGATTTTTTATGAAAGACATTTGTCACTGATATAATGTTCTCGACTTTACGCAAACCTCAAATTAGGACACAGCTACAATAATAATAACTATATATTATCAGGAGCCCATATACGTCTTCCGTTTGTGAAAACAAGGAACTTATATACGATGTACTGATTTTTAATTTTCTGTTTGTAGATTTATAAGTGCGAGGTACAGCTAAAAGAAGGGCAGTAATGAGAATTACCAGTTTATCTATATTAGATGGTCCTTATTTACTACATTCATCCATCATCATTTACAGTCAGGAAAAATGCTTTCAAGAAGATTAAATAATTCAACGTCAAAATTCATTTTCAATAGATCAATTTATTTTTAAGAACACAAGGCTGGACAAGGGAATAGAGAAAATATTCAATGGGAGAGAAAACAATAGGGAAAAAGACAGACAAAACCAAAAGAAGAAAAAAATCAGTGCATGTAAAAGTAATTAAAATTAAGAGTGCAATACACTTAAAAACGTTCCTTTTTATTATCTTCCGGGTCTTAGACAAGAGGCCCACGGGCCTTATAGGTCACCTGAGTATTGTGCAACAACATTCAAACAATTAAATTTGGTCCGTGTTTTAAACCAGGGGCCATTTAATTCGCAATTTCACAATTTTGAAAGAGGTACCATTGCTTATAATAATTATAGACTTAGCATGCTTACTCTATTTACTTAATACCCAGAGGTAGATCAGAGTAACATTAAGAGAAAATGCACTTCCACTTTATAACCAGTTGTGCACCTCATCCCAAAGGAACCACTGATCCTGGGGCCACATATTTCAAAATTTTGCAAATTTTATCATAAAATGGTTGATTAACACCAAAGAGCAGATTTCAAAGCATTAATTTATTTTCAGACTTTGTACCCCCCTTCACCCCCGACCTAGGGAAGGAGCGGGGGAGGGGGGCATAAAAAATAACCATTTTGCTAGGTGCACCTTTCTTCATCATGAATATATATATATTTGGTCATTGGCATAAAATCCAGGAGCAAAGGAAAGATTTTCAAAGAATTAATGTATTTTAACTATATAATCAATAGAGCCCCGCCCTAACACCTGAACCCATGACCCTCGGGCCATAAAATTCACAATTTTGGATGAGGCACTCTTGCTTATCATAACTATGTACTTTAAGTTTATTTAATACTCAGGAGCACAGAAGATTTTAAAAGAATTAATGCATTTTCACTGTATGATCAATAGAGCCCCGTTCTAACACCAAAACCCCTGACCCTGGGACCATAAAATTCAAAATTTTGGATGAGGCACTCTTGATTAACATATCTATTTACTTACATAGTTTATTTAATACCCAGAGCAGAGAAGAAGATTTTAAAAGAATTAATGCATTTTCACTATACGATCAATAGAGCCCCGCCCTACCACCAAAACCCCTGACCCTGGGGCCATAAAATTCAAAATTTTGGATGAGGCACTCTTGATCAACATAACTTTTTACTTACATAGTTTATTTAATACCCAGAAGCAGAGAAGAAGATTTTCAAAGAATTAATGCATTTTCACTATATGATCAATTAAGAGCCCCTCCCTAACACCAGAACCCCTGACCCTGGGGCCATAAAATTCACAATTTTGGATGAGGCACTCTTGCTCATCATAACTATGTGCTTGGTTAGTTTATTTAATACCCAGGAGCAGAGAAGAAGATTTCCAAAGAATAAATGCATTTTCAATATATAATCAATAGGGCCCGACCCTAACACCAGAACCCCTGACCCTGGGGCCACAAAATTCACAATTTTGGATGAGGCACTCTTGCTCATCATAACTATGTACTTAGTTAGTTTATTTAATACCCAGAAGAAGAGAAGAAGATTTTCAAAGAATAAATGCATTTTCACTAAATAACCAATAGAGCCCCGCCCTAACACCAGAGTGCCTGACCCTGGGGTCATAAAATTCACAATTTTGGAAGAGGCACTCTTGCTCATCATAACTATGTGCTTGGTTAATTTATTCATTACCTAGGAGCAGAGAAGAAGATTTTCAGAGAAATCACGCATTTTCACTATATAATCTATATAGCCCCGCCCTAGCACTACAACCCCTGACCCTGGGGTCATGAAATTCACAATTTAAGTAGAGGACTCAATGCTAATTACATTCATGCCAACAGTTTGCCTGCTTGATGTCCAGGAGTAAAGAAGAAGATTTTTAAAGTTTGCACTAATTTTTTGGGTTTTGGCCCCACCCCTCAAGCCCCAGGGGGACAGGGACCATAGAATTCAAAATTTTTGTTCCCCTTCACCCATAAATGCTGTATACCGAATTTGGTTGAAATTGGTTCAGTGGTTTCAGAGAAGAAGCTGAAAATGTTCAAATGTTAACGCGACGCACGACGCACGACGCACGACACACGACACACGACGACGGACGAAAACGGATAGCAATAGGTCACCTGAGTTTACTCAGGTGACCTAAAAAGCAAAATTCAAGTCTAACATTCAACCAGTTATTAGAGATGAGATACATATGTTTGAGATAAAATTTTGATAAAATATCATTAGTACAGCATTTGACGACGGCTGATTTTTTGTTGTGATAATAAAACAGACGTACATGCCCTTGTTATATAAAAAAGTGAATCTCGAACACTAGGGATTAATGTTTTTGAAAGGAAAACCAAAAACTCTTTTTTTTTATTTGGGATTATAGAAGGATATATTGAGGATGATACATGTTCAGAACATTAAAAAATAAATCTTTTTTTTATTTTTGTTAAAATTAAATTATAATTATGTTATAAACAAGAGACCATTCTCAGTAATTGAGATGTTTTATCCTTTCAAATTCTAACTTCAAAACTAAACATATTTTTTAAAGTATTTCTTATAAACACATCAATCAATCTATTAAAATGTTATTGTTGTTAAAATAACCTTGTTACCAAAAATAACCTATACCTAGGTCGAATTGTTGATGCCTTGGTTTTATTAATTGTTAGGACTTTCGTTGAACCATAAATTCATTACGGAAAGTTCCTTCTACTTCATTACTAATATGCAATTCGTCATATCATATGAAATTTGGACAGTGGGCTTAATGAGGGTAATTGAATGTTATCTTTTCCAGTCATTTCAAGGTTGTTTAGGTTTTTTGCCCAAAATCTCGTACATATTTTTTTTCGGAAGCTCTCTGGATCTTTGAATACGAGGTACGCTTTATCAGTTCACCAGTCATGTTTCATGAGTCACAAATGAGCCAAGATGATAGGACATTATAAGGTTCGTGCACCAAAAAGGAGTAACACGAGCATTTGAAAGCATGTATTTAGTATACAGATAAGTTGTGCAGTAAATTTATTTCAAATCAAATACATTCAATACATTTATACATTGCTACTTACATGTGCCTGTTTTCAATTCGAATTTCGTTATAATGAATAGTGACAGCATAGAAGAATATTATACAAGCTATTTGTATAAGACAAATCGTAAAAATGACATGAAAAATTAAAATCAATTTCAACGAGTACTCGACTATCGTTCGACTAAAGCCTATTTGACAATTTCGACAATCTGACAAAAATCTCCAAAAAAAATTGGCATCCCTACTTAACACATTATGCTATAATTATATAAGCATATCCGTTATTTCTTTATCAAACTGGAAAGCATTTTGTGGCATTCCCATTTCAAGAATACAATTTGCCAAAAAAAAAAACCAAGATAATGGATAAAATGTCTACTGGTATCGCTGGAAATGCAAAATTACGTTTTTATTTACAGGTAATATATTAAAGGAACACTTGATAGCACCGTCTGTATTCCTCCTACAAAATATATTTAAATACATTTTTATGCAGCATTCATAGTCACTGGATGAAAACATAATCAATCAAGTATTAAAAGTTTGCTAAGAATTACTTAACGTACCAGCTTTGTGATAACTTCTGGTCTTCTGACCTTTAACTGCCGTACTATGGTAAATATATCAACCTCTCCATCCATGCTGATCTGTTGTAGGGCGTTATGTAAAACACAGAAAATACCAGCTGGCCCTGCTCCGTCCCTAAAATTTACAATGTCCATATTCTGAACACACCTTGAATATATATTTTCATAATCGGACGTAAAATCTTTATCATTATATTTAATGAAATAGTTTCTATTTATTAAAGGACTAGAATGACAGAGCTAAACTTTCCTTCTGTGTAATATTTCAGGTACTATTTTAGCTTTCAATTCTACAGATAATAGGATACCAAGATTCATTTTAAGTTTATGAAAACTTTCGGATGGCAATGACCCCTAAACACAGATTTTGAGGTGGTTTATTCTGCTTTGTCAAAAAGGCGCAAAAATGTATTCATTATTGGAATTACAATCAATCAATTCATTTTAAAAAAAAATCTTAATGAAAAATATATTTATCTCTCTCTTTTTTAGAATATATTTATCCAAGTTACTTTTGTTATTTAAGTTATCATTTTTAGTTTGTATAACATTGTTACATTAGTATTTATATTTATTGTAAGAGATATAATCGCAGCAGCAAATGATGATCAGCCATCTTCTTTTTAAGCCCGAAACTTAAGCATGTTATCTCATTCCATATACTTACTTGCTTATGACAACAGAGGTAAAGGTTGACTGTTTATAAATCCTTTAAATGTCTTCGAATTTGTACGCACCGTTGAAAAATCGTATATACCTATCTCAAATCGATAAACTAGATATATTCTAATAACTTTGAATTCTTTGAACAAATATTTTTACTCTGACGTCGTTTTAACCGTATTAAAACATAACTTTTTGATGGGATACTGTCCCCTTCAGAAGGTTGGCGTCGCTTTTTCTGTCGAGTTTGATGCATATTCGTTAGGATTTTTGTTTAGTTTTTTCACTGTCTATAAGGTTACCGATGCTAAAGATGTTAATAAATGATCATAACCTCTTTGTTTGTGTTACATATAATTTTTATTAAGCTTTGTCTAATTTTAAATTAAAACTAGAGGTACTGTGAGCAATGAGCTCACTAAGTGATACCCCCCGCCTCCCATATGGTTATAACTGATGACAGAGTCCATGTTTTACTGTGGCCCGGAAACCCAAAATATGTGTCGGATCAAAAAGTAAAATAATAAGTCACAATGGCATTATGTAATAAAGGTTCTGTGAAAGTTTCATTAAATTTCACTCAGTGGTTTAAGAGGAGTTGCGGATAAGAGATGGGTACCCCAAAGCGTAACAGATGGACGGACGTACAGCTAGACGGACAGACGGACGAACGGACATAACGTTTACTATATACCCTTCAAGCGGAGGGGGGGGGTTATAAAAACTTATTTACTTTCGGATTGCAGAAATATTTCCACATATGTTATATTAAATTTCCTGTTTAACCACATTTTCCACCACACTGATTTATAAGTGTAGGCATCGTAGTCAGTAATGGCGCATGTAGGGAGGACCTGACTCGTATTACCATCAACCGCTTTGTCAGCTGTCCAGGCGCTTACAAGTATAGGATGTAACATTCCAAGATGCAGTTCCCTGTACACCTTGAGCAGGTTTATGCGCCAGATTAAATGTAAATTCATTTCATTCTGAGAGTGTTTCATATAATACTAGCCTATTTTGCAAATAACAATAGATATAAAAAGTAATTCGAAAAAATGAAGATAATTGACAAACAACATGTTTTTACTAACTGTATAAGAGAAAAAAAGAGATAAACTCACCAAAACCTGAAATCTCTGAGAAAACATGTATTAGAATATTCGCAGTACAGTTAAGGTGCGCAATGGAAATATTGACTAAATTTTGTATTTAAAAATGTATTCGTAATCGGGATGGCGAATATTTTTAGTACATTATTTATATCGGATAATTGTTATTATGATTAATAACTACATATCGAGGACGATTATATTTTATATTTAGACTAGTCACGTGATGCGGCAGTCACGCGATTATCGCACATTAGCTTGAAGTATTGATGTTACATATAAATATCACTAGTGCAAGGGCATAACCAAGTTAAATTTCAAAGTTAGGTATATAAATATTTTCAACACGCATTGTAGTTTCTAAAAAGTGCTGCGATCCTGTCTAAATTCTAATTTATTGTTAAAATTATACTTGTATGATATATATATATTTTTTGCTATATATGAAATGTTGATATAATTGAATTGTTTTTAAGATTTCATCAGGATCGCAGCACTTTTTAGACACCTCAATAGTTTTATAGTTGAAATGTAAAAGCTTACTTTGATCCACAGAGTGTATGCCCTTGCACAGATCGATTTATTAAGACCCTCCACTTTACCCTTCGATGTACTTGCATACAAATAGACGGCAGTGTCAATTAAATACGTAATGTACAGAAAATAGATTAATAAAATAGTGAAGAAGACATTAAATTCAAGTTATTGGCCCATAGAATACATGTAAATAATATTTTATTTAATTAGAGAACACATATTTTGTTGAGAAAATTTTACTTGATCTGTCTCTCACTGCATACAAACTACGTCACGTTGTAAGAAATGACGTCATATTGACAAGTATATTGCGATCAGTGACTTGTTTATAACTTGTTATGTGGGATTTACCTAACGACAAAACAACACGATGTAGTAAGTTTTTATGTAGTTTGATGATTTCTTACTGGTTAAATTAGCAGATAAACTCATTTTGTGGTATTTTAAAGAAATGTTGTATGACGTGTATTGTGAATGATGTCATAGTCAAGTTTTCCCGTACAAATTAGGCTCCGCCTCCTTTTTGTAACCTTAACTGTGCTGCGTTCAATAATAAGATAACTTCCAACCGCATTTTTGTTTATTTTCAATAAAATATTAGGCGTACCTAGACTTTCTGGTTGACATGGGAACGTGTAATATATGTCTTGTTGATATCAATAGGTAAAAGTAAAGTTAAGAGATACACTGCAGAAGCTATTTTAAGTCTTCTGAAATATTAAAGACTTCCATTTGAAAAAATA